CACAGACAACCTCTCGTCAATATGCGTTTTTTGCATTGCATAGCTGCAAAAAACGCATAAAAAGTTTATAATGTGTCTGCACTGACTGCATCAATTAGAACGATGTTATTAGAATTATCATGATTGGCAAGATTTATTTTACAAAGTGAACTAAGAGTTAGAGAAGATCCATAATAACATATTTAAAAGCATAGACCAGCATTCAGTTTACACATCCCCACATATCATCACACATATTTTGTCTATAGTGTCTAAATTTCACACGTATTGCTAGCAATCCACACATTATTAGGAATGAGTGGCTCAGACTAAATACAGAATTCAAGTTCAAAACGCACACTCAAAAACAGCCTTTGGAGCTAGTACAAAGCTATATCAACTTCAAACAAACTGCACAGATTGATCAAGGAGTTGCTCAGAAAGTCGAGAAGAAAACGAGCATAATGAAAGATTCTAAAAAATTAAAAAAGTTTCCCATTCGGCATTAACATAGTATTTAATCTCATCCCAGAAACAATGCGTTTAGAGAGCAAAAAGAGACGAAAAATAAAAAATTTAAAAATTTGTCAAATGTTTAAAAAGTTTAAAGACCTGAAAATAAAAAATTTGAAAAACTCCGAAAATAAAAATTTGAAAAATTTTGAAAATGAAAATTTGAAAAAACAGGAGAAAAACCGGGAAGTCAGAAACTGGAAACCGGGCGAACAAATGCTACTTCGTCGCACATTTTTGCGAATGCAAAACGAAATGTTTCGAAATGAGTGAAAATACGAGGAACAGCACGAAAAAAGCCAATAAAACATTTCAAAAGAAGCTGCGTAACAAACTCCGGATCTTAAGAAATCTTAGGCACAGTACCACTCTCGAAACAGCACAAAAATGCATCAGCAGTGGCAAATTACACATATATGTATGTTTATGCAAAAGTACCGGTACCAGCCGATCAGAAAGACTATATAAAGTTTCTCAGAAGTGATTATTGTGTTCGGTTATGTGACGTTAATTGTGCAGGCCTTTTTCGTAACCTTCTATTGCAA